TGAGGAAAACCAGAAGCAGCTAGAAAGCCAAGACAAAAGAGTGCAGTTTTGCAGCGTGCTTCTGGATGCTAATCCCAAAGAATTTCTTTAAAAATCTGGTACCAGTTGTCAGTTTCTTCTGGGCAAGCAGTGCTAGATGACATAACTGATGGTTCATCATGAAAACTCTTCAAGCTGTAGGCTCTTCAAGCTGAAGGTTTCTGTGCCACTTGGAGCCTCTTCTCAGAATCCTACGCATTTTCCAGAAGCTAATCCTTGTGGTCAAAGAGAGAACTTCAAAAACAAGATGGCAGCATGGCCAAGAGACTCCAAAACCAGAAGGCTAATGACAACTGCCAAATATTCGTAGGTTTGAGAACTTATTGCTTTTTCAGTCAGGTTGCGTGGTTTGGGTGGGGGGGGGGGGGGGCGCTGCCACAATTTTGACATTAGAATACGTCTAGGTCAGTGGCTCACGTGTAACATTAATTGCTACATATGGGAAACTGATAGAGGTCAGGAGAATTTTTGGAAAGGACAATACATTAGAGAACTTTAGAAAGGAAAGCTGGAAAAGGACAGTACTTAGTATAAGAGAGCAGAGGGAAGGGATAGGAACTAGACTGCCAAGTCTTAGGGAAGACAAAACAGGAAGGGGGGGGAGAGAGAGAGAGAGAGAGCTGTGTCAGGGATAGCAGAAACTACAGATTTCAGACAAGACACTTCAGAAAGAAAATTAAGGAACATGAGCTAAAAGTTGGAAGAATCTTCAGGAGGAAGGGAAAGGACATTAAATGTGAAGATGGTGGGAGAATTAGGACATGGCATACAGAATTACAAGTAGAAAAGTGTTTCAGAAAGGAGGTTGCAGCTGGATTAGAGAAGACAATAGTGAGTGGGAAAGACAATGAGAATGTTAACTTATAGTGGAGATGGTTTTAAAAAGAGGATTTGCATAAGAGTATGAGATACAAGTACAAGATCAGAGATAACAAATAGAGAATGCCAACGGAGATTGTGAAAGGATTAGGAGTGTGCGAATACACAGAAAACAAAGTGAACCAGTCTAAAGAGGGCAGGAGGCTAGACTGAAAGTAGCAGTGGCATAAATCTATGAATTAATTATATGTGTATTACCAAAGCCTTTGAAAAGTATTACAGGAATCTAGGAAACGAAAGCTATAACCTGTAAGTGTGAGTATAGTGCTCCCTTCTTTCTCTCAGACCCCCTAAATATCGTCCAAAATAATGTGCCCTTATCTCTTAGCCCTGTTTATTTACACAAGCTTCCACCCATAGGCTTTAGTCTCTGGATCAGTCCTTGCAGCTCTAAATGATGTTTTTAATACAGGCATGGGATACGCCATTAACCAGGGCCCCATGTCATGGCAGCTTCCAAAATGGAGCTGAGTGATTCACTCACCTTTTCAGCTATGCCATAGTAGCTTATGTACATTATTTGGGTCACATATCCAACATGATACTTTTTAAAAATAATAACCTTGAGTTATATGATATTGAAGTTCTAAGATTTATATGTCTGCCTCTGCTCTCATTCTATAAATTTCCCTTAAAATGCTGGGTTTTATTTTGGTAGAAACCAGTGCATGTTTAAACACCCAATAAATTTGTGGGGTGGGGGTGTTACCTTCATGGGGGAGGGCTTCTTGCATTATAGCTAAGCCATCACATTCTAAACTAATGGGTATGTACTGCGAACATTAAAATGTCCCCTACATCAACATCTCATTCCAAATAGCAGAAGTTATGGCTTCCATCTTCCTGGCTTGGGGAGCTCAGCTGCAATTTGGCCCCATTTCAAGGTTATGATTTGTGGCGTATTAGGTGAGGAGGAAGGAATGCCAGAGGAGGGCAGATTCAAGTCCAGTAGCACTTTGGAAATCAACAAGAGTTCCAGAGTATAAGCCTCTGAGAGTCAAGGTTCCCTTTGTCCAGACCCAAGAGAAGAACAGACCCTGTGCGTTGGTTATTCTGAGAAACTGAGAACTGCACACAGTACATATCTTTGCATTCCAAATGTCCCCACGTGTCTTTCTGTTAGAGGCTTGGAGTATAAGAATATACATACTATATACACGGCTCCATTAATTCCATCTTCTAGCTCAGGCTTGGAAATAGCAATCACTGGATCATCTGTGGCATGTACGAATAGATCCCAGCCACTAGGCAGGGATGTTTCACAAAAGTAATTTTGTTCCTTTTAGGCTAATGTAGCTATAGGGTAACAAAACGTACATTTTGTGGATTTATTTGCAAGACTGATAGGAAGTCAATGCAGACAGTTGACTAGAGGTTATGGATATGATTAGAGGATTGAGGAAATTTAAAGGAATAATTAATCTTAGCATGACAAAAAAAAATGGAAGGACTAGCAGGAAACTAAAAACTCGAGGGAGAAAAAGTAGCAATATTTACTGACAGAAAAGAAGAGAAAATACTGAAGGAACTCGGTGGAAAGAAAATCCCGACCCCAGACCCTGGTCAGAGAAGCCTAGTGAAAACATGGCTTTTTGCTCTCTCTCTTTTTTTTAAACTTTGTGTTAAATACTGGGGTAGAAATAGATATGTTTCTGATAAAGAGCAGATGAGTAGCAACTTGAACTATAATGTGAGACCGGAGGGAGGGAGGGAGTGCAAAGAAGAATCAACAGGAATATCTTAATCACCAGGAACAGGCCTGGTAAGTGAGGAAGAAAGAGTCCAAATGTGGAAGCTAATAACAGAGAACTGCGCTCTATGAAAATAATGTTTTTAGATTGTCCTTTTTTTTAAAGTGAGTGTAAGATTAGGTTGCCTGAACAAGCAAGTAACTCTGTTGTCAATGGCAGACAATGGTATACCGGGGGTGTCCAGGGCCAGTCCGGGAGTGCGCGCTTGCCGCAACCACGTCACCCGTAAGTGACGCAACCATGTCGGGCACGTCGGGGGCGGGGCCACAATCATCCGAGGGAAAACCATAGAGTTTTCCCTCGGATGATCGCGGCCCCGCCCCCAACGTGCCCGGCGTGACTGTGTCACTTCCGGGTGACGTGCTGATGCCGGACACGTTGTGTGCTTTGGGGGTGGGGTTCCCCCCGGGGCCCAATCCGCCGGCGGCGGGTAACGGGCCTCTCAGGCGGGGATTTCCCTGCCCCCCGGGGGGACTTGGCAAGCCGAACGGCAGACGAGGTGTTACTTTTCTCACTACCCTGCCAGACTTTGTGGGTTTGAGGTACAGAAAGCCGGGAGACTGGTGATTAACTGGGGCCAAGAGAAAAAGTGCTGGAAAGCAGCAGCTCTGAGGTGGAGCAGTCCACTATGCTGAGATTTATTAGCATCTGTCCCTTAGAGGCCCTCAGCTGATTTACCAAATTATCAGAGGCATTCAGAGAGATACCAGCAGGCGTCCTTGTACCTGTCATGTCTTTCCATGCCATAAGATTTCCATGCATAGTGCAACAGCATGAATCATGCATGCATTTTGTTACCACCTTCCAGGCCGGATAATGCGCATGCTTCTGAACAGTGAGTCAGTGACAGAGAAGCATGTGTGATGAGACTAAAATGGACTTTGTCTTATGAGATGGCCCCGTAAGCACCTTCTTGTTCCTATGGTCAGACTCTCTTTAGGAAGAGGAGTTGTCTGTTTCCATCATAGCTGCTGGCCACGGGCGTGCAAATTTGCCCGGGTGTCAACTACCTTCTAGCTGATGTCGTGAAAGACCCATCCATAAACATGCCCTCTTTTGGAAACTCTTATGGAAAGAAATTCCACAGCTTTTAGACAACAGGCAGCAGCCACAGGTCTGTCTCACTAAAAGCCAAAATATAATGAGGAGGAAGAGGTGCTACTAATGGAATAACGGTTAAGAGCCTGCTTGGTTGCAGTCCAGCAATGAAGGCTTTTAAATTGCCTTCACATTGTCATCTCCACCTTTTGAAGGCAGGGATTGGGGGGGGGGGGTTCCTCCCATTTTCCCCTGACGATCAAGAATTGCCTTTAGCTTCAGGAACAGCAGTGCTTCTGTAGTCCTATAAGGTGCTTCCCATATGAGACAGTTTGCCCCATTCTGTAAGACTTGCCTTCACCCTTCCATATTTGTTTTCTCTCTTATGTAGAATATACACCTGTCTGGGCACCACGGCAAAACTCAAGTACGCACCCTCATTGAAGCCTTCACAGGCAGCTTTGCACAGGGAATGCTTCACATCTTTTCCAGAGACAAACTGGAGTTTGCCATCAGCTGCATCTGTTAGCAGTTTCCTGACAAATGCATCAGTGTGATATACAAGTTTCCTGCATTTTAACCTGTTTGATGTAGGCATAAAGCAGCTTAGTGGTACATTTTTAAAAAGAATGTTATGTTTGTAGAGGCCTCATTACTGGTCCCAGCCTGAGCTTTTCCCCTTCGCTTGGCATAGTAGAAGATGGCATTTGTATGTCACGCTGTTGGCACTTTGATTAGTAATGTTTAGTAATGGTGGTTAGCAAAACGAATGGAAATGGCTCCTTAAAATGTTTCAAGTGGGTAGTTTATTTTGGTGGTCATGAACTAAGTCTCTTCGGGCATAAGGATTAAAGATTCTTTAGAAGCCTGATCAAAATCATGGTAATATGTTTTCTCTATTTGGTGTTCCACTGGTCGAACAGTGTCTGAAGATTCTTTATGTTTGTTCTAAGTAATGGGCAACTGTGGAGCTTAGTTTAGGCACCCAAGACCTTTTGTATGTGTGCTGGAAAAGAATGAAAAGCATTCATATCCCTTGCCTTCTTCCACAGCCCACAGAACTTGCTCTTATTTTATTTTTTCAGTAGTTTTGAAGTAACGTTCTGTTACGTTGCTTTCCTGCGGACGGTCTCAGATGCAGCATTTGAAAAATATATGTCCCCTAATTGACTTCTCCTTTTAAGCTGGAGTTCCAGACTCAAAATTGTTTAAATGGGGGAATCAAAAGCACCCAGCAAAACCTTTCCAGGAAGCCTCTACTACAGCCCTGACAGTTTTTTTCTTCTCTTGCAGGAATCCAATGTGCTGATTGCTGCTAACAGTCAGGGTACAATTAAGGTAAGTTTGTCCGCTCGGTTCAGTTTTAAAAGAATGACTGTTGGTAGCAGCAAGGGTCTTGAGCACTGAGAGAGGCCACTACAAGAGCACTTCCCTCCTGCAGGTGTTTATAACTTAAAATGACTTATTTGTCTCTGCTGCTGCTGGAGAGGTGAGACTAGAGAGCTGAGATCAGAGGTGTCCAATTAAAAAGCGGGTGTGGAACGCAGCCAGTGTCCACTTGGCACTGTTAGGAGACCTCTGCAGACAGGAGCGAGCTGCAGCCGGAAAGTCTGCAGTGCGCAGTCGGAGCAATGAAACGCCAAAAGCCATTGAGTTTCACATGAGGCAGTGCTGTCATGGTCTGTGCGCTAGTCGCATATGAATGCAGGCCACTGTGCAGAAACTTCTAGAGTGCTAAGAAGGAAGGAAGTGTTCCTAGACCCGCCTTTGAGATATGACTCTGTGTGTATGCATTAGAGGAATAAGGCATGTAGCTTATTCCACACTCTTCCGACCACCACGATGGGCAGCATCAATCTGAACCTTTTTTTGGTGAACTTTGCGGGCCTTTTTGACACCCTCCTGGATTTTTCTTTTCTTTTCTCTGTGTTTTCTGCATCATTTGAATTTGAAACAATCAAAAAATCAAGAGCTACTTCCTCTGCATTGTCCTTCTGTTAGGGTACAACTTAGTGTTTCAACTCCCATTATGTTTCTTGTACTTAAACTTTGATGAAAACACAAAGCTGCCTTGAGACCAATGGCCCATGAAGGTCAGTATTGTCTACTCGGACTGGCAGTGGCTCTGTAGGGTCTCAGGCAAAGGTCTTTAACGTCACCTGTTGCCCGGCCATTTTAACTGGAGATGCCAGGGACTGAAATGGGGACCTTCTGCATGCTAAGCAGATGCTCCACCACTGAGCCACGGCCCTTCCCCACATAGCACTGATTTTTTAAGGACATTGCTTCCATTGCAGCTTTTTGATTCTTGCCCCCAGCCCAGTGCTGCTTTTCAACACCACCTGGCAATTTATTGTCGTCTCCCTTTGCTGTGAATGGTACAGGTGGGACCTGGAGAAGAACCATGGATGGGTTCCAGGTGTTAGCGGAGTACAGCATAAAGCAAGAGAGAAACTTTGCTGCAAGCTAGTATGATTTGCCTGTGATCATCTTTTGGCCATTTCTAGGTCTACTGTACCTGAACTCCTTTGGAGAATAAGCATTGAGGGGTTTTGGTGGGGTTAGAGCAATCTTTAAACATCCTACCTTCTTGTCCTTTTTTATAAGCACAATTCAAATGTTTCCTCTGTGCTGTATTCCGGTGTCCTCTCCTTGCTGTCCCTATAGCCCTTGCTGCACATTTGCCCTCCTCATCTGAACTGGAGCAGGGATCCTGCCAAACACACAAAACAACTGCATTGAGCCCAGTGACGAGTAGAAGAATCGGCTGAGAGCTTACTCTGTGTCATGTGCACTATGCTAGGAAGAGGACCACTTTGGCATGGAGAGGATGACATTGCTGTCTGCCACAACTGTGTTTATCTCCCTTTTCAAGTGGAAAATCATATTCCCTAGGTTGTGCCAGAGGCTTCTTAAAGCGATACCCTCTTTGTGGTACCGGAAGAATGGAGCAAGGGAAGGAAGGGAACCAGCCCACTTTTGAGGGACAAGCTAGGTGCCGTGTCGGTTGAATCACATTTCTGCCCCGTTCCCATCTACGCTGGAAGTGGTTCCCCCCCCCCTCTTATTTTAACATCAAATTGTTGTTGAATGGATGAGAGGAGGTGGGCCCTCCCTTTCTTCCCTGTGCTTTCTCAACTCAGGCACTTTTCTCTTAGCCTTCCTCACTTCTGTTGCTGAGGTTATGTTGGGCTAAGAGAAAATGCAGTTTAAGAAAGCCAGCGAGAGGAGATGGCATGCCTTTTTGTTTCGACTTGATCCATGTGGATATGCTCACCTGTCTGGGCTTGAATCACAAATGTGGTGGCCACGGGTACTTGTAGATTAGCCCTGAGCTAATGGAGGAGGCGAAATGGAGTCAGTGTCCCCCATATTAATTGGATTGCTCTCCTTTCTTTATCAGGTACTGGAGCTGGTATGAAAGGCGTTCTCTCTCTCTCAAGGCATGAGATCTTTGATCGTGCTTTTGTCCGGGATTCTCAGTGGGGCACAAAGCTGAAGCTAACTTGCTCTTCCTTCTCAGAGTGATCATATTTCGGGGGGTTCTTTTTATGTATTGACACTCTTAGGACATCTTGGGACTCTGGGAAGCACAGTGAATTCAGTACCGTCATCGTCAACTCCATGGACTTTGCTGCTGATGGTTCTGTTGCTTGTATAATTTTTTATGATGAGGAAGGGTTGGTTTTTTGTTTTGTTTTTGGGAGGGAGGAAAATGAATGCTTAAATTAAAAAGAAATCCTGAAGGAGTGGTCGAAGTTCATTGGGCCTCATGCGGAAATGAAATGGGCCCTCTGTTGATGGATATCGGCAATAGGTTTGCCTTTGTGTGTCAGAAACAGATCGAAGGCCTCCGTTGTGGAGCCATCTTCTGGAGTACTACTTTTTAAGTAAAGTAAAAAAAAAACAAAGTTGGTTTTGTTTTGATTTAAAAAAAATTTTTTTGTGTGTCCGAGTAAATTGTCCTCTCCAAAGATTCGAAGCTTTTTATAAACCGACCCGAACAGCCTGTGAGACGGATGTGAAGAGACCGTTACCTAAAGGCATGCAGAAGGCTCTTAACTCCGGGTCCACATTTTTCCCTTGACCGCCTCTCTTGCCTGCCAACTGAGCAAAGGGTACCAGCATTGATGTGGATATGTGCTGATTGAGACTGTGTCTGACATCACTTAATTATCTCCCCCCCACACACGCACACGAACACCCAGTGAGCTATCAAGCTGCCATGAAAGGATGCTGTTGTGTCTCTGTTGATCTGAGTTATGTTGAGATAATTCAGCTGAAGGCAAAAGGTAACTATGCTTAGTCCCACATGGGCCAGTTTGCTCACCCACCCACCCACCCACCTCTGTTTTGTGACACTTGTAAAAGCCAAGCATTTTTTGAATGTTGTAATATATTTTGGGGGACAGGCTATGCTAGCCTTATTTTTTAATAACCATGCATACACTTAATTGTACAAGTGGAGAGAATGGGAGAAATAAAAACTGTGATTCCAAATGTTCTGTTTTGTTAATTTGTTGGCCAAAAAGCTAAGGGGTACATGTGTGTGGTTGGGGAATTCTCTGCTTCTTGAGGATGCTCACAGAAGTATACCCAGTGCCATGGATTGGAAGAATTTTTGAATGCTCATGAGGGGGATGGCAGCATGTTGACAGCATGATGTACTAAAGGGACTTTTCGTGGACTGCCATGAATTTAAATGCAATTCTGATGATCCCGCTTTTCATTTAAAAGCAGTCTCTTTGTTCAAGGAGAGGTTTGTACCTATCATTCCCCATTCCACCCCCTCTCCAGTCGAAAGAAGAAAATTTGCAATACAGAACAGACGAAAAACATGTTTCTGCGTCCATCTACATATCAAAGTGTCAAGCTGACTTCTGTTACAAAAGTTGTTTGACACTTCTGCCACTCTTCTGCATTTGCCATGTACATGAAGGAATGATTTCCATGTAAGCTGCTCACTTAGATATTGATAATTGTTCGTATTATTCATTGGTACCTCTTTAAACATTGGTGTTAGCAGAATTTTTAGGGGCTTTTTGTGTGTGGGTGTGGGTGTGGGTGTGCAACAATGAGGGGGTAGAAATTTAAAATGTGAATGCATCGTTTCTTAGAATTCTAGTAAGGTTATTGGCTTCTGCATTGATGACCATTTGTTTTGCTCAGTGTGTCGTTATCTGTCATGCAGCTTTTTGGAGCACCTGATGTCATTTTGCATGAAACCCTATGATACTCAACGCACTATACAGTCTTCATCACATTGGCAATAATAGCCCTATGGTGTAGATTGTTAATTGTATAGACAGCTGGTGTAGAGCGACGGTAACGTGCTGAAGTCTGGTGGCCTTCCAAAAGGCTGTGCATTTGGGTGAATTCCATATCTTATATCATTGCCAAGTGAGGTGGGGTCAATCTGGGTGCCCACGGCATGAAAAATACCCACTAACAGCAAGGCGGGGCATTTTTTGCCCGTTCCTCCCTCCTGTTGCAGGCCTTTAACTCCACCCACTCCCCATTCCATTCCTGGGGTCTCCTGTCCCCCAGGAGCAGTGTTACAGGGGCTTTTCTGGACTGCAGTGGAAGAAAGGAGGCGGGGAAGTTCTGCTGTGGACATAAATCAGTGGAGATTTACTTTTTGATTCAAGTCATGCATTTTGTCTGATCTGGAACCTTACTTTTCAGTGGGACACAATGAAGTCCACTAACGTTCTGGGTTTATTTTCAGCCTAGTCAAACAGTAGTACCCATCAGATCACTTGGGAATGTCTGAGAAAATCGGCCACACTGTACATCAGTGAATACTGATCGTCAGATTCAGGTGAGCTTGCCTATAGTTACCAGGGCTGTTGTAGTAGGGATAATCAGTAACATATTCAAGTTTTCCAGGTCTTATTTTTGCAGGCATTTTTCTCTTTACAAAAAGGGCGAGCTTGATCATCCCCACCCCCCCGGTGCTTCCACTGGGAATGTAGCAATGCCTGCTTCATGGTTTTCATGGTATCAGGTTTTCCAGGGGCACGTGATAAGTTCTAATTGTTTCCCCAGTTCTGGCAGCATCTCTTCTCTTCCGTTCTTCCCAGTGTCTTTGTTTAACTCCCAATTATTGTAACAAAACAAATCTTGGGAGGAGAAGAAATCTATAACGTGTGTTCCTGAAGCGGCTCCTCGAATTAAATAGGAAGCTGTTGTTAAACTTCCTTCTGAACTTCCATTCTCTGTCAGGCTGAATGCAGATTTCAGCGTCTGGCTTTAATTAGAAACACAGCACTCCCTGAGCAAAGTGATAACATTTTTTTTTTTAAAAAATCCTTCCTTTAACATTCCCTTTAATGTTCCTTCCTTTTAGGTGTATGTACATGATGTCAGATGGAGACATTGGCTTTCCGTGATGTCTGATGGCAGGTTCAGGTTCTTCTGGTTGCCGTTTGTCTCTCTTAAGTGGCCTCGGTTAACTGTGCTGTCTGATTTGGACTCGGCAGTCTTGCGTGTCACGTTCCCGTTGGCAAAGGTGGTGTATAAACTGGCCTCGGTAGGTTACCAGGTGGGTGCCCATGCGGTTTGAAACAGTGGCACCAGACATTCTTGCATTTTGAAAATAATATACCCAGTAGCCCTTTCAACTCTGCTGAACAAAATACTGAAGGCCTACTCTGCTGACCATTTGCGGTGATCTAGAGGCCTTTGAAGAGCTGCGGTGGCTCAAGTGGTTAAGACGCTGAACTGCAGGCTGTGGGAGGTCAGTAGTTCAGCAGTTCAAGACCCGGGTGCCGCATGATGGACTGAGCTCCCGTCTCTAGTTCCAGCTCCTGCCAACCTAGCAGTTCGAAAGCAAGAAATTGCAAGTAGATAAATAGGTACCACTTCGGTGGGAAGGTAACAGCGTTCCGTGCGCCTTGGTGTTTAGTCATGCCGGCCACATGACCACGGAAACGTCTTCGGACAGCGCTGGCTCTTCGGCTTTGAAACGGCGATTAGCACCGCAATCCTAGAGTCGGATTCGACTGGCTTTCGAGCAAGGGAACCTTTACCTTTACCTTTAGAGGCCTTTTGATCCCCTGCCAGCTACCACCACACCACCGTTTTCCTGCCTCTTTGCCCCTCGGCCCTCTTTCTTACCTGGCCATGTGGCTGTTTACTCAGATTCAACTGGGGGTGAACTGTGTCTTCTGAAGCCTTTGTCGGAGTATCACAATCAAGTAAGATGACACAGCCCTTCCTGTTAGATGGCCAGCGAGGGCGGAAGAAGCAGAGGGGCAAAGAAGCAAAGTGGTGTCATGTGGGCTGGTATTGAACCTAATGTAAACGGGTTAATATTGGGATGGATCCTGTGGGGTTTGTTCCAGTAGGGGAAGGTTCCGTCCTCCAGAGGAAAGTGCCTTCGCTAGTGGAACGTGTTCATGGGATCCAACCCAATGGATGCTAAAAGCAGCCCGAAAAGTGGAGGTGCTTTGGGACACAACCACAAAAACAAATGGGGTAGTTTTTGCTTCAGTCCTGGTTTAAAACAGAGCGTTGAGAAAAGAGACTCCATATTCCATGGAGCTCAGTAGACGCAGGGACTAGATTCAGGTTGTGCGTGCCTGAATGGGTTGTCCTCCTGTCATAACTGAACTCTGAATCAGAATGATCATCTGCCGACTTCTGCCTTCTGTGCTAGCGCGCGGATGCTATCATTCCAAATGGCCCTGTCGTCTTCCCAGACTGCCTAAATGTGGCAATGTTTCATGGGGCAAATTGTCCAGGGATGGGATGCCAAGCTCTCACCTGGCACCCCCAGGAACCTGTGGGGCAGGGTAAGGCGTGGGCATGACGTCAGTATATCAGCTGACGCTCTGGAAAATTTATAGTAATACCATTGATTTTCCAGTGCATCGGCTGACATCATGTCTATTCTGTGCTGTTTCTTATATTGGCCTGGATGCAAGAGCGGGAGGGAGGGCTGAGCCACCAGGAGGTCACCCACCCAAAGCGAACAAATTCCATGCCTGGTCCGTGGGCAACTCTAAGCAGGTCGCTTGTTACTCTGAGGAATCCATTATTGAGATTGCGTGTAATTTGCAGGAGGGGGTGATCAACATTCTGCACCAAACTAACCTACATCTTACTTCCAGAAAAGCTGGCTTCTGTGGCCTGGGTTGTTACTCACACATCACTGAACATTGAACAGTCATTATGCTATAGTGGTCATTTGCAACTGGATTGACTCGTTCACATAAGGAAATCTAGCACCAGACATTTTCCTGTGTTTGGCTGCCAGGATCGGAGTCCTCTGGAGCTCTTGTGACACACACACCCCTTCCAGATTGTGGTCAATCAACAGGCAGAATGAGGAGTTTGAGAATTTGATCCTAGAGTGGGGAGAGGGAGGGGAGGAAGGTCCTTGGACATCTGGATAGAGAAACCAAGAATCAAATGCTCTTTTCTTCTGCGGGAACTGGGGATCTATCATCTGTCAGCATTTTGCACCAGGTGTGACTTGCCTATTTCTTGCTCTGCCATTCAGGAGGCTAATATTGCTGACTAACACCGTTAAAAGGCTCCGCCAGCTTCTTAAAGTAAGACCTTTTCAGGTGATATGTCCCGCCCAAAGTTAAGTATGCCATGTTACTGCTCCTCTGACTCAATTTGTACATACCAACATAGGTGGGTATCAAGTCTAACTCAGTACCTTAAGTTTTGCTTTAGTTTCTCTGAGCCTGTCCTTGCTGGGGAGATGTCTGTTCATCCTATCACAAGGTATGCCTGTGCCTTCAAGTGGCATCAGGGGCACTGCTGGACTTGAGAGCTCTGGACTGTGAGAGCTGGACTGTGAGAGCTCTGGACTGTGAGAGCTCTGGACTGTTAATCTAAAATGCAGATATTCTCCACCACCACCAGTGGAACTCTTGCTCTTATTAAGAGGATCCCGAAGGTGACTTTTCGAGACTACGACTGCAATCCTAAGCAAGCTTACTAGGGTGCAAGTCCCACTGAATTCAGAGAGACTTCTGCATATACACGCTTAGGATGTAAATCTTGTAATGCCGCGTACCATGTTGCATCTATTGATACCCCAGATTCTGCACGGCAAACTACAGAACCCAAAGCAGAATCTGAGCCTCAGCCCGTCAGTCAAACCACTGCCTACCTTCTCTCCCCAGGCCGCCTCTCAGGTGCCGCACTGCCAATGAGAACCTTGTTGCCATAGGCAGTGGGGCTGGGGTACCAATGCCTCAGATTCCACAGCGCACTCCAAAGTCTGAACTTATGAGGAAGATTTCCCAGCACGTGGATGTACTCTGTGCACACGAGTTACTTTCCCTTCAGGTCCTGTTATTTTGTCCCCCCCCCCCCCCCGGAGTTAAGGTGCAAGAATTCCTCTA